TTTGTTTTCTGTACACCGAGCTTGGGCTCGACCCACATCCACTAAACTATTCGACAGTGAAGGGAATGAGAGGCAGCCGCACAGCCCGCTGAGCTATCTGACCGACAAAATCCGTCCATTTTTTCTTTGATAATCTCCATAGAAAAGTTGCATGAAAATGGAGAATGATTATTCAAACCTTGAATAGATTTAATGAAAAAGTTTATGTCCACTATTCTTCTGCCTTCTACCGAAAATGATGGTTTTTGCGGAGAGGCAATATCAACTGACTGAGAATGACAGCTATTACTAAAAATAACGATAAAACTTAAAGTATTTTCTGCAAATGATATTATTTGTTATTATTATTATTTAAGAGTAAAACATTGGTAATATTTTGACCATAAACAAATAATATGTAAGGTCATGAACCCTCTATTTACTTACTTTACGGTAAGTAAATAAAAAAAAAAGTAAAAAGGGTTACTTACGAATCGACACTACCACTAGGTAAAGTTATCTTCTTCTTCTTCAAGTGCCATCTTCGTTCCGAAGGTTGGCGATCATCAGGGCTATACGTATTTTCGAAACTGCTGACCGAAACAATTCGTTGTTGCTACAACTATACCATTCCCGTAGATTCCTTAGCCAGGAGTTTCGTCTTCTTCCTATGGACCTTTTTCCTGCTATTTTCCCTTGCATAATTATTCGAAGCAGTTCATATCTTTCGCCTCTTGTAATGTGGCCCAAGTATTGCAGTTTTCGTTTTTTGATTGTAAATATGACTTCCTTTTCTTTGTTCATTCTTCTCAAGACCTCGACATTTGTGACTCTCTCGGTCCATGATATTCTCAGGATTCTGCGATACATCCACAGTTCAAATGCCTCTAATTTTTTGATATCAATCTTTTTTAACGTCCATGACTCCATTCCGTAAAACAGCACAGAAAGTACGTAACATCTCATCAGGCGAAAGTTATCTCCAAACTATTTATTAAAGATTATTTGTTGACACATACAAAAAACTGACATTTCGAATGTCAGATATATATATATATATATATATATATATATATATATATAATATATATATATATATATATATAAGTTAAATAAAAGCTTTTAAAAACGGTTGTAATATAAATAATAAAAAATTACTGCAGTGCAATTGCTCTCCTTTTCCTTGACATAGGACGTTTACTGGACTCATTTTTTATCTTGTCTCTTATAACTTATATCACTAACCTAATGTAATACTTAAAAATACGCGTAAACTAAAGAACTTTTAACTTATACCACTAAACTAATAATATATTACTTAACATACACGTAAACTATATAATTTCAATGTTTTCAAAATAAATAAGAATACTGTAAACTGTAAAAACTAAGCAAGTTGATAAAGAAAATACAAGAATGAAAGAACTAAAATGGATTCTAATTCAAGCGAACTAACTGACCGTACCCATAGAGAAATAAAAATAAGACCGTACCGTACGCTCATGAGATTGACGTCACTAATGCGATAACGATCAAGCTGAGCGACAATGATGAGGAACACGTTTTCACTATTAGATTTCAGTATTTTTTAGCAATTTTCTTCAAAGTTTGAATACGCTTTTCTCAATTATTACTGGACACACAAAGGTGAAAAAAGAATCAACGATTACAGAAAAAAAAACTCTTTCAACTGATGGGCGTGAAAAGTTTGGTTATAATAGAACGTTAAACAGTATAATCCAATTTTTCAACAGAAAATTCAAAAAATAAAAAAAGTAAAACCATCAGTTTAAAGGCAACATAATTTCGTATAACATGTCCAAATTTCGAGACATTTCGTCGGTAAATAACAGAGAAAAAATTTTGGTGCACCGATAAAACAGCCTTAAATAATGTGAACTAAAATTTAAAGGAAATATAGATATCAAAATGGCTTGATCACATTTTCTGCTTTCAATGGAGGATAGGAGAAGATTCCGTTATCAAAAAGCAGTCTCTATCGATCTTATAAGCTATAGTAACTCCATTTTTGAACATGGACCTTTTCTATTCTTTTTAATTCGAATTGCCAAAAGTGATGTAGTTATCCAAGTTGTAGTCTTTCCCTCTTGCGTTAATAATTAGATGCTTTCCATTGTATCTTGTTCCATCTGTCATCATTTTGTTTAAGGCTATAAATTGTTACGTGAAAGTGAGTAAGTTGATACATATCTATTTGGTTTAACATGAAAGTGGCTGTTACTTCTTCGATCTGCTAATATTAAACAAAATTTTATCGCTCTTTTTTGTCATTTTTCTATGTATCACGCTTAAATATGCATGTTAGAATAGCTAAAACATATTGTTTAGAGACAATTATTGTGTTGGATTCTCTTGTATGAACTGTAAAAATACGTTGTAAAAATTATACAATTTTATTTGTTATAAGTATGATATTCAGATAAAAAGTGTGCAAATATAATCTTTAAAAATGTTAGATCTAATCTTTTGAAAGTATTTTTATGCTACAATTTCATTGAAACAATATTACATGCATAATGTAGTTTGCACTATAATGGCATGTATAATTTACGGCTATTTAATGTGTTACTTATTACTCATTTTCGGAATTAGCTACATTTATAATAATCATCCTAGCCTTGTCGACATTTAAAAAAATAATGGTATAAAAAATGAATATTCCCAACTTCCTTTAAATCTTACGTGCACAATAAAATTAGCTGATTGAGTAAATCCTATTTACGTCATTAACCTTGAGACGTTCATTCGTTTTCGATTCAGCATAAAAATTTCTTCCACGCACTGTATCTACACTGCATTAATAGTTTTGAGACAAACGATAAAAAGAAACGGGATTTGAGATGTACGTGGGAATCGTGGGATCGTAATTCCTGATGAATCAGTTCTCAGTTAATAAGACATGGTCAGCGACTTTATCCGTTCATTTACAAATACATCGACAAAATAAAAAAAGTTTAAAACAATTAGAAGCTTACCGAAATATTGCATCAATTCTGTAATCAGTTAAAATAAAGTCATTGTATGACATATCCGAATATTTGTATACTAAAATAGGTATTGAAGGAGTTTGCCGAATTTTCAAAAACTTGAGTGTTTCTGGTCATAGGATATCAACGAAGTATATCACAGAGGTGGTGTACAACTACATAAAGGAAAATCCAAGAATTAGAAATGAGATAACATGAAACGAGTACGAACAGACACGTTTTTATTTATGGTTCCGGGTAAACATATATTTCCAGCGACTGTTTTATATGTAACTTATGAGTTATGAGTAAGTAGAGTGTTCTTATATCCGAAGAACAACGAGGTCACGCCTCCTGTAGACGGTAACTCCCTGATCCCAAGCTATCTCTACCCCTTCTCAATCGCAGACATAACGTTGGGAGGCTTTACTTGTTTTTTGACCTTTGATGCCTGGGAAATGGGACATCCGAGAGGCCTTTTTGCGGTAAGGTCGTTTTAGTTAGGGTGGCGTTATCCTTCTTTCTCCCTGGTTTACTTTTATTTTTGCCAATCCTCTAGAATTGCTTCTTCTCAAATGTGTGCTTGTTCAGCAAGCCAGTGACCTTGATCACTGGCTCTCTGCACTGGGGTTTTGTTTGTGCCCGATCAGCTGCCGATTTTGCAAACGGAATTTGCGAACCTGGCCAGCCGACCACCCGGAGGGTCTGGCCACCAAGCTTGTGTCTAATGGTGGACCACTTCAATGTACAGAAATCGCGGTTGTTCCATGTGGAGTGTGTAGAAAAAGGGATGTTCTCTTTTGGACAACCTAAAACCAAAAAATGCATTGCCACGTGTATGGTGAACTCAAATGTCTCCTGTATGTGTTTTTGGATTTTTTTTTTGTAAACCTACCTATTTTATTGATACCTACCTATTCTATCCACTTCACCTGCCTTAACTTTACTTCACACTAAAAGGCATATGTACCTAATATATATAACAAAATTGGATATTTAAGTTTAATGAAAAAAATATTGTTTTATACTTTAAAGTTACCTTTAAAGATAAAGTAATATATATCTGAAAGATTATTTTTTCGTCATTTCCAGCAGTCAACAATGGGTGTGTCGTATATGACGCCAGCATGTGAAATGTCTATTGTGGCTTAAGTTCTTTTTATGTCCGTTGTGGGTTGTTCCTTAAGCTGGATTTATAGTTTGACGGACTGTAGCAGACGCACTGGAAAAAGATCAACATAGACTTTTGTGTACTCTTATTTATAAATGAACTTAAACGCATGACGGGACGTAAGCGAAACGCACTGTAACGAAAGAGTTGGTCAACTTTCATCTTTTACAGTGCGTTACTTGCGTCTGGCCAATCAAAAGGAAGGAATTTTGTGCTGTCAACCAAAGTCCCACATACCATTTTGTAAAGTTGCGTATCAACCTATTCGAATTTTGATTTTGTTGATTATTTGTTAGAATGGACGTCAAGAATTTATAAAATAATAATAATAAATAATAAAAGGATATTATAGTATCATGGTTATCAGTCTAGCCACTGTTTCTACCCATGCGCAAAAATTCCACTCCGTCGATTTATAAATTGAAATAATATTTTCAGTCCGTTTGTTACGCCTACATTGCGTCTACGTCTACAGTACGTCAAACTATAAATACAGCTTTAAGGTCGATTCAGACACATCAGTCCCGTCACAGTCTCGGCGCCGAACCGGTCCTGTTTGGTCGCAGAACTATTAATTATCTGACAGCCTGGAAACTGTTCGTCGCCTGATGAATGTGAATGCCGGCGCCATATTTCTATTACAGAATATTTTGTATGATTTTGTATATTTTGTTTTCAATGTCATTTAGTTTAGGATTGTTAGAAGGCCAAGAAGGGATGTTTATATTCTGATTTGCAAACCAGTTTTCTGTGGTTCTGGCCATATGATAGGCCGCTCCGCCCTCCTGAAAAATAGGCCTGAAACAAATCTTGAAATTAATTTTATGATTAAATCTTACAAATAACTTAATAACTTCTTCCAGAATGGCTGAACTTAAAAAGGAAAACGGTAATCAGTTATACAAAACCAAACAGTACAGATCTGCACTCCCTCTCTACAGCGAAGCCATCAATCTTTGTCCAAATGTAGCCGCTTATTATGGAAATAGAGCGGCCTGCTACATGATGCTTTACAGGTATGTATTTTTTAGTATAGTTTAATTCAAAAATTGTATCTTTCTTAACCATCTCCGCGAAGCGACGCAGGTTGGTAATGATCATGGCTATTATTTAAAAAGAAAGAACAGCAAATGTATGTTTCAAAAAAAGAAAGCTTAGATGTCTGGGTTAAATTACATAAAATGGTAAAATTAGGAATAAATGTACTACTAGAAGCCTATGTGTGTCTATGTTGGACATAATATGTTTGTGAACTGAATTAAATATTGATAGGAGGTAAATGAAATGAGAGATAAACATTTTTAATATTGCCAGGTTTACAGAAGCTTTGGAAGATGTCCGGAAAAGTGTGCAACTGGATCCAGAATTCGTTAAAGGATACATCAGAATGTTAAAGTGCGCTATAGCAATGGGCGACACCACTACTGCAGATTTTGCCATTAAGAAGCTTCAGGACTTAAAGGTTGACCAGCAAAGTAAGTACTTACAGAGACTAATTGTTAAGTGATTTTTCGGATACTATTTAAAAATGTTCGGTGATTTTAACTTTTGCTTATTTTATATCATCTTATACTGAATAGTCCTAAATATGGGCCTAACTATATCATAGTTAAGTTTACGAATAAAAACTTCATGCAAATATTTATAATTTGACTGATATTCCACGAAAACGAAATTATATAGGTACACGAGGTATATTGATATCTGTAAGACCAGTTTCGAAATAATGCGTTACCCTAACAACGAAAAAATCGCATATTTTCGTAGACACCTGAGATACCAGCCTTGGCTGGTATTCTGGGAAATGCGATTGGTATGCCTTTATTTATTGAAGGAAACTCAATTGTTGCAGAAGATAATTTAGTCTTACAGTAGAATCAATTACATTTCCAACAGGGCGGTTCTTCACCATCCTGCCGCCAATACTTTATTTTATTTATGTAAAAAGAAATACATTTTAGTCTTTAAATTGTGTTTACCTGCTTAATTAGTTGATTAAGTACATCAATGATTTAGATTAAGTTCTTCTTATATTTTTTTTGTGAACTTTGTCACACTAAGCAAATGAAATGATACGAACACATAAAGAACTTAAATTTTAGAGAGATAGATTTAAAAAATATAGGATTTTCTTGTGAATATCAGTTGTAACCATTACTTTGTAGTATGTTAAAATTTATTACCATGCTTTATTCCATTCCGAAAAGAGTAAATATTATTTAGTTGAATTTGAATAAATAATAAATCTGTCATTCAATGAGTGACACATGTCAATAGGAAGTACATAGATTGGAATTAGTGAAAAAAATCCAGGAAACTTAGAATAGACAATAAAAAACTAGAAACTAAAGGGCCCTAGTTAACCTGTAACCACGTACGCCCAACTAACTGAACATTACCACAGACGTGGGGTCAAAATGACAAAAAAAAAAGAACTTGCTAAGCAGTTTTTATACAAAATTTGTTAAAAAACAATTACATTAATTAGAAGTTGACATAAAAATAATATTATAGAAACGTCACTATTGCGCAAATTCTTTTGGCGCAATTAATACATATTGGAATTTTACAAATTATGCAGAAGTGTGCTATTTTTTTTAGCTGTACAACATTTGCATTATTTTCTGACCTCAAATTTTTCTTCCGGTTTAGAAACGATACTTGTCTAGATGAGAAGTGGGGGATTAAAAGAGAATAGGAAATCCAGGTGCAAGTATGTTCACCTTGTAAACCGGCATTCAGGTGTTTTGAAGGAGACAACGGTAAGCTTTGGGCGTCGGTTAATTGATCTGGGATTGGGGTATATTTATAAAAAATATGGAGAATTGTAATGTCCCAGTGAAAATGACTGGGGGAAATAAAGTGCGCCACCTAGTCCCTTGTCAAGGGAGACGAGGGAAACTCGACAGTTGACCTATGAGGAGATTGGTTTAAGAAAGATTAAAAAAGTCAAGCTAAATCTCTCAAAATAACCAAAATGCATACATGGTCAAAAAGAAAAAGAAGCAACAGTTACCTTCTGTTGTCGCTCTACCTTCCTTTTTATTAGTTACCAGAAGAAAGGAAGATTATGCTAGAGTATTAAACAAATAATTGCTACAAATTAACAATTTTTATTTCTTATAAGTTCAGCCAGAGATAAAAGTATTATGGAATATCAATACATTAGCAAAGTGAACATAAATCAAACAAGGCAAATAGCAAATAAAAACTTAAATGTAATCCTAGACAAATCATGTATTAAACAAATATTCCTACAGTATTGTGCCTCGAAAATGCGTATTGAAATTTGTTTTAAAAATTTTTTTTTAAACAATTTCTGTAGAAAAATTTCGCCCGGCACCCGGCAGATTTGTTTAAAGGGGACATTTTTGAACAAAAATCCTCAAGGAAACCGAATCAGAAACATTTTTCCTACAGAAGCGGTCCCAAAACATCGACTAAAAATTAACAAATCGTAACACTCTAGTTTTTTTCTTCTAAAATATTATGGTAAAAATGTGCAATTTTTTATCGGCTCCCACGTCTAGAATAACCAGTTTTTAAGTGATTCATTTTATATAAATTATATTGTTCGGAAATTCATGATGTGGCGCATCTCTGTTTTTAAATTCCTTATGACAAACGTATTCACCTTATACATTGTTTATTATTAATAGACAGCTTTCATATCGGAAAATATTATCATAATATTTATGTATGCAATTTTAAAACAAACCATCAGATTTGGAGTACAAAAATTAATAATAAACAGTTTTATATTACAATTATTTATGTGATGTTTTTCCCAGAAAATAATTTTTATCGAGTTGAATGAAGTATTGATCATATATTAGAGTAAGATGAATCATAATATTACTGTTAAAACTGAGATATAGCTTTACACACAATACACAATAAACAACTCTTGGATAAAACCAAAATATCGATAATTACTAAAAATTCTGTGTTCTTGACGGATTTTACATAATTTATAATTACAAGCTATCCTGAAATATTATTATTAATCTAATTCACTCATCAGTAGACTTACGCCTGCTCCACACATGGGGGACAACGTTGACCCCAACAGCGTTCGTCCAAATGTGTGTACCGACAAAACTGAAAACTGTGTTGAAGCTAACGTTGGCGCCAACGTTTTTATGACCTGCTCCAACGTTTTTATGACTTGCTCCAACGTTGGGACTTTTCCGTGGTTTGGTTTTTTTGCGTACACATCAAAGGGATTGGCGCCAATTCTCTGGCCAATATTTGTGTTGCCGTTGTTGCCGACCACACATTGGCGGTACAGCAGTGTTCCAATCGGCGTATAAATATGCTATTTGCGCATAATTTATTTGTTGGCGCGTAATTTTCGGATTCTGCATAAAATTAGTAAACTAAGGTTTACTAAGTGCTACGTATGGTCAGTGCTGCTATATGGCGTAGAGGGCTGGACACTCAAAACGAGGGATATAAACAGATTAGAAGCTTTCGAAATGTAGCTTTATCGCCGTATCCTAAAAATACCATGGACAGCGAAAATCACAAATATAGATGTCCTTAAAAGAATAAACCAAGAACGCCAACTTTTCGAAACCATCAAGAAAAGGAAACGGCGTATCTAGATCAATTCATGCGAAATGAAAAATACCAGTTCCTCCAACTTATAATCGAGGGTAAAATTGAAGGCAAGAGAGGAATGGGACGCAAGAAAATGTCCTGGCTCCGAAACATAAGGCAATGGACAGGGATTAACGACATACAATCTGATACATATTGCAAGAAATAGGGAATTAATGGAAAATGTGACCGCTAACATCCATTAGTGGATTTGCATCTGAAGAAGAAGTGTCAGAGTGAAGTTAATCGAGGCGAGATGAATGCGAAAAATCGACACATCGAAAAGTGACTCTATACATACTCCTGAAGTCGAGTAATTTAGTGTGACAGTTCGTATTCGAACTTCGAACCCTTTGACTCGGACGCGAAAAACCGACACAGAACGGAAGTAGAACGAGGCGAAGCGAAGTTGCATGAAGTACCTGTCTACACTCTTGTACTCGCTGAACTTCGATCAACTTCGCGAGTAGTTTAGTGGCCGCTTTAAGGTTAAATTCTTCAAATAGAATAGAATTGAAACGGGATCAGAGTAAAAATACGAGTTATTGATAATTTCGATATCGACAGTCCACTATACATTAACCCTTAACTACCTTATAACATGGGTGGGTTTCACAGTTGACATTAGTTATTACACATACTTGTATATACTTAGTCAAAAGAATCTCATCTTCAGATTTTTTTACATACAGCATACTTTAACCAATGAATGTAGAAGCTCGTAGAAGGCTATTCCATAACAAAAAGTGTCTCTCGAATCAGACGGTGTCGGAACGTAAACAAACAAGGTTTGTAACACGGTTGACAAGAGACGATGATAGCCAATTTTTATGCAATTAGTGACACAATAATTAGTGGATTATGTCGTAATTATGACGAAGTATCGAAGTGAAGTTAATCGAGGCGAGGTGACTCTATATATACTTCTGAAGTCGAGTAATGTAGTGTGACAGTTCGAATTCGAACATCGAACCCTTTCACTCGAACGCGAAAAACCGACAAAGAACGGAAGTAGAACGAAGGGAAGTCACGTGATGTACTTGTCTACACTTTCGTACTCGCCGAATCTCGATCAACTTCTCGAGTAGAATAGTGGCCGCTTTAAACAAACTAGTAGATATTACTCATCTAGGGAAAGATGATACACTTAACACTTGCAATGAGCATCAGGGTGTCTTATGAGTTTTGTAGACTGGTTTTTTTAGAGCTTTGTTTTATAAAAAATAACTATTCAAAGAAACATATATCTCGGAAATATCTCTATTCCACTAATTCATATTCTATAGACCTCGATTGGCTCGTCATGTTGCTAAGAAGAGCCCTAGATAGTAAAATGTAGCAAAACTAGGAGGGGAGTCAGAAGAAAAATAGGAGGTCACACGAGTAAATTCGTAGCCGACGTGCAAAACTGACGTACGTAAGAACTTGAAGTCGAGGCGTCCGGGACGCCAATGTTTGAGTCGGGAGAAAATCGTTTTTTGCCTAAGAAGATATCTGATAATGGACGCGTGCGAGTAGTAATTGTCATTATTGTTTTGATACAAAAAAATTTATAAATCACTATTTCCGAGTTATTAGCTATTTAATGCTTTTAAAAATGTGATTTTGTTTACTTTTTTACAAACAATTACAACACATATGTTTTTAGCATTTGCCAATGAATTAAAATCGGTTCAGCAATTAAAACTGTATGAGGCAGATGGATCCAAAGCTTACGATAAAAAAGATTATCGTTTGGTTGTTTTCTGTATGGACAGATGTCTCGATCATGCTCCTACTTGCTACCGATACAAAATTGCCAAAGCTGAATGCCTCACATATCTCGGGCGGTACCAAGAAGCTCAGGAAATTGCCAATAGGTAAATATATATTCGTTTATTTTGATTTAAACAATAGTTTTAGGTAGTTTTAGAATCTCTTCTGGTTCAATCCTTAGTTGACCAGTTAATTCCTGCTTCATATCACTTAGCACATTACAATGGCCTAGGATGTGTATGGCAGTCTATTCTTCCATTTTGAATTTTCTGCAAAAAGTGTTCATTCACGTTACCTAGTTTCTATTGCTCCCCATTTCTTTTGATAATTCCTTTTCAGCCACTTCTGAACCTCGTTTTTTGTAGCATCTTTGGTGATGCCACAGAATGGTTCTGATCCTACAAAGGTTTTTCTCGATCCTTGTTTTGCCAACAAATCTGCTTGTTCGTTCCCATTCACTCCTTCATGACCCGGAATCCATATTAAAGACACTTACTATCTTTTGCCAGGTTCTTGAGGAATCTTTGTAGTTCCTCACAGTTTTTATTTGGTGAGTGGGTTCTTTAATGCCAGAATAGCCGCTTGGCTATTCTGGCATTATGTTAATTCATTGCTTTGGGGTCTCCATTCATAATTTTATCAATGCAGGCCACCAAAGCAAAAAATTCTGCCTGGAACACAGTTGTATCTTGACCTAGGGTGTAAGATTTATTATAATTACATGTCTGTCCAAATACTGATCCAGTACCACGGGCAGTTTTAGACCTATCATTGAACTATATTAAGTCCCCGTTAATATTTGGTGCGTTTGTTCTCTAGATAGTCTAGATGCTATAATTGTGTTAATCTTCTCAGTGAAGGTCAGGCGCGACTACAAATTATTACAAATTGTTTTCTGTTAAGTGGAGTCAACCAGTGAATGTATATTCATACTACAATTCTGATATGTTTTTTAGCAAAGAAGTTTTAGGATAAATTTTTCATTTATTTATTCCATTTTTTTCTTTCCAACCGACCCAGTTTTTTTATTCCTAAAAATGATTGTCTTTGTCGCAGTTAAAATGCCAATTATCAAATACCATTGATAGAATTTAGCAATATTTTTTAATAATTGATGGATTCGACCGTTACTTGATGGAAATTCATTTTATGTAACAATAAAACACTGAAAACTTTGTTTTCAAACTTCCACAAAATGTATTTTAAATATTATCACTACAGCTGTTTCGGCTGATTGCCTTTCTCAAGTGATCTATTTTGGCTTGGGTTTATTATATTATATTTTATTATATAATATTTTTTAACTAAATGCTTTGATGTTTATCTCCTTTTATATATATATATCGGCGCAAAATTTCGGGCCAATGGTTTTTAAATGCATTCATTTTTTTCGAATCCTGAGAAAACTAACAAATATTTTTGAAAAATTTAAACGCAGAATGAAAGATTACATTATTATCAAGGGCCAAAAGTCCCTTAGAATAAACAAAAAGTTTTTTGAATGAGATATTTGAAATTAAAAATTACACTAAATTTTACCTTTTTTTCGCCCCTGTAACTTATTAAAATAAACATTTTCAGGGACTTTCGGTCCTCGGTAATAATGTATTGTAATACGTAACATAATATATGTTTTCATTCCTGCGTTTAAATTTTTCAAAAATGTTTATTAGTTTTCTCAGGATTCGAAAAAAATGAATGTATTTAAAAAGCATTGGCCCGAAATTATGCGCCTACGCTCTTAATAACTGAAAAAAAAATATGTAACTGTTTGTATATACATATCTCATTATTTTCATTTAGTATTCTAAACATCGACAAAGGAAATGCTGATGCCATCTACGTAAGAGGAATGTGTCTCTTCTATGATGACAATTTGGACAGTGCATTCCAACATTTTCAACAAGTGCTAAGATTGGCTCCGGACCACACCAAAGCTATGAATATTTATAAGAGAGCAAGGGTATTGAAAAAGATGAAAGAAGACGGCAATGAGGCATATAAGACTGGCAAATTTCAGGTAAGATCAAATAGTCTTAAAGGTTTAATTGTCTTAAAAAAAATAACCGTTTTTGTGAAAACAATTCTATTGTTTGTTCACTAGGAACGTAAGTGGCTACAAAACATAGGTATTTTTGTGCTACTTATATAACTTTGGGTATACTGCCTTCCCATAAATCTAGCGGATTTTCTTTTAAGTTCCTTACGGGAAGATCGAGATATTGAATTAGCTCATCCGTTGATTCTAGGAGCTTTCCCTTCTTTTTTGTGTGAGCTAATTTCTTGTGATAGGCCCATAAACCTACATCTTCGCGCTATTCATCGAAACTTTAACATTCAGTCTCAGAAGCAGATGCTAATTCCTCTACTCTTTTCATTTAATTTCTAATATAGTGTATCACAAGTGCCACCGAATCTTGAAAATGTAGGTAGGAAAAATTGGGGTCTTAAACCTTGGGTCCAATATTATAGCAATTGATGGAATCATAGTTTGTTCAATAGTTCCAAATCTTATTTTCAATTCTTTTTTTATTTCGACATTTAACTTTTTTGCAACTTCACACTGTAAGTGTGGACCTCCTTGATACTGCTGGTATAAACAATATGTTGTTGGAATTATTGTGCTTATAGTAACATAGATCCGCTACACTGTTTCGACAGTTGTTCGAGTGGATGTATAACTTTTTGTACATTTTTTAACACGCCATTAAACGCACGCGAGTCAACTTGCTGCAGTTCCAGAAATTCTTAAAATAATTCTGTTCGTATAAAAGAAGACTCGCGGTGTTGACTCTTCCTCCCAAATTCCTTTACAGTACGCTTATAGATCACTGCGGTTATCCGTTTTCGAAATATATCGTGTTGAGTATTTTGCTGGTCCCAAGATAACTGCAGCCCAGAAACAAAGGCGATTAGAATTTGCTCACGAATATCTGGATTGGGACTACTCAATGGAGTCAGGTATTATCCTCTGACGAAAGTAGAATCTGCCTACACAGCAACTACAAGTGGTGTCGAGTCTATAAAATGCCAGAAGAGTGATTTGCTCAATATTATATGCGAGAAACTGCCGTACGAGAAACGGTGAGAAAACCAACAGAGTTGTTTGTGCTGGAGGATGTGTAGGAGGTTTAATAGCAGATCATTACATCTGAGACATTCTGCAGGAACGTGTGTTTTCATACTCGGGATTTATTGGTGATGTCTTTATTTTAATGAACGATAATGCACGATGCCATACCGTACGAGTCACTATCACCTATCTGACTGAGATCGGTATACCTACAATAAATTGGCTTGCGTTGAGCCCTGTCTTAAATCCAATAGAGCATGTTTGGGATGAGCTTAAACAAAGGGTCTGGGACAGAAATCATGCACCAGGAAGCATAATGAAATCGAGAGCTGCGAATAATGATGAATGAAAAGCAAAGACTCAAGAATTTATTAGAAAAGTGATTGGAAAGTAATTCCGAGTAGGGGTGGTAATATCAAATACTGAAAAATAAAGGAATTCCTTTTTGTAATTGATGATTTCTCTGTTCAAACCGTCTTTCTTGCGTTCGTTCCAATGATGAATATTTAGGAAATTCTGTTAGTATTGCATATTGTTTTTATAATGCGTCCTCCAAGTAATGCAATAGCAGTTTTTGTAATTTCAATAATGAAGTTATTGTTTGCACGTTACATATTTTTTATATAAGGAAAGACTCAAAATTGACTGCAGTGGACCTACGTTGAAAATATTCTTGAAGTGTTTTCTAAAGGTTGCTTAGCAACGGACTAGTATTAAGGAATTGCCTATTTTGCGGTTAGAAATTGCACTGAGACTTAGATATTCTTGACAGCTTTCAGGAAAACCGTGTTTAGGTTATTTCCTGTTCGAAAAAGAATATAATATGTTACGAATCTTACGTAGTTTTGTTTTTTGCAAGATACATAAACGGAAAAAAGCAAACGAATTGTATTATGCTGTTTAATATTGTCGAACACCTTTTTATTTACGTTGAATGTCGGAAACGTGCTTCTACTTTTAGTATTTACTCATATGGTAATACAATCTTCCGAGGAATTTCGGGCTAATATGCTGATATTCAGAATGTTCATTCCTTTCCATTCTATTATGATTGATTTTGATTATTTAGTGGTTTCGATTATTAAATGATTTCGATAATGTATGGACTGAGAGAATGTGCAGATATAAAGAATAGAAATTGTATCACAAAACCATTCTGAGCAGATGTAGCATTAATACTATATGCCAGGGGTGGCCAATTTAATCCGACTCGAGATCTACTTGTCTGCCTTTCTAATTCTTTGCGATCTACTGACTAGGAATTTTTTAGCGATACTGGTGAACAATAAAACTTTTAATCCAGAATTTTAACGTTAAAAGTGAGCTGAATATCTCGAGAGTCGCTCACTGTATCTCAGAAAATCAATCACTGATTCTCTTCTTTTTCTTCTTTTTATATAGACATGGATCTGTCTGTTTTTTAATGCGCCTCTAGTAAGTTGTCGTTCCATCGTTTTCGTGGAATTCCTACTGATCGTATTCCTATTGGGAAACGTCTCTTGCCGTCTTTACTACTCTATTTGTTGTCATTTGCCTAATATGATCGTTCCATTCTACTCTTCTATTTTTTACCCTGTACTTGATGTTCACGACCTTGCGTCTACGTCGTATATCTGTACTTCTAGCTCTGTCCCATAGTAACTTGCAATCAATTTTTTCAATCAAGTGTTTTCATCTCTTCTGTTTCTAACATCCTTTTTGTACTCTGTTAGGTCGTGTTTCTGCCTCGTATGTCATTATTGGTCTGATGACGGTTTTGTAAATTCTGCCTTTCGTTTCTTTCCCGATATTTTTATTTCTCCATATTGTTTCATTCAGGCAGCCTGCGGCTCTGTTTGCTCTATTCACTTCATCTTCCACTTCAGTTTTGAGCTTTCCGTAGCTAGATAATGTGGTGCCTAGATATTTAAACTCCATCACTTGTTCTATTATCTGACCTTCCAATTCCAATTTACTTCTTAGTAAATTTTCTGTTGTAACCATGTATTTTGTCTTTTTTGGGGAGGGAAATTAACATGTTAAATTTTCTGCGGGTTATATTAAATTGGTGCAGCATACGTTATAAATCGTCTTCACTTTGAGAGAGTAGTATTTGGTATCCTCTTTAGTTCTTACTTTTTTTATTATTTCATCCATAATCAGGTTGAACAATAGAGTCTCCCATTCTTTTCCCTGTCTTATCCCATTGCCAGCTTCAGTATGGTCAGTTAGTTCTTCCTTTACTTTTGTGTTGTTTTGGTAGATATTTTCGATCGTTTTGATTATTCCTAGCGGTATCTCTCTTGCTTACAATAAGTGGATAACGTCCTTTAATTTGACCCCGTCAAATGTTTCTTAAGGTATACGAAACATAGATATGCCGGTTTGTTGAATTCTATTGATTTCTATTGTACTTATCTCATTATAAATATTTATTGCGTCGGTGCATGATATTCCTGACATAACACCTTGTCCTTCTGCTAGTGTTATAATTTCATTCAGATTATTTGTCATCACTTTGGTTGTTAATTTTAGTGTTGTGTTTAATAAATTAATTAATCTATCTGTAATTCTCCGGGTCCGATTTGTCTCCATTTTTCAAGAGAGGTAGTATTAGGATGCTTGATCTCCATTCTTGAGCAATTCTGTTCTATAATTTTTTGGATTAGTTTTAATAGTTGTTTGGTTAGATCTGGTCCTCCGTACGTTAGAAATTCGTTCGGTATTCTGTCCTCTCCTGGTGATTTCTATTTTTTAATTTCCTTAATGCTTCCTTTACATCTTCCTCCTCAATACTTATTTCTTCGTTTGTTGTCACATCTGGTGTAGGTGGTTACTTTTCGTTACCTTTAGCAAATAGGGATCGAAAGTAGTCTACCCATGTTTCCGAATCTGTTTCGTTTTTATTAGTTCGTTCATCTCTTTTTTTTGTGTCCTGATCATTCTCCATATTTCCTTTTGTGTTACGTAGAAGTCTTGTTCTGTCTGTTTTGAGAAGCTCCGCCAGTGTTCCATTTTTATTTGTCTAACTAAAGTATTCGTTTCATTTCTGATCCGTTTATAGTGGTTATATGCCTGTTGTGTTCTGTTCTGTAAAATGGCTTTCTTATTTTCTTCACATTTTGTCTTCACTTCCTCTCTAACCCATGGTGTTTTCTTTTTTGATATGTTATTGTTCGTTACTTTCATCTCTTTAAGTGATTCTGTCTCTGCGTTAATTATGTTATTTTTGAGTTTTCCACAGCTTTCCTCGATGTAATGGTTTTCTAATATTTCATTCCCAGCGATCTTCTTTGATATTCTTTTTCTGTATAAGTATTCCATGTATTTCGTATTTAGTTCTTCGACTTTGATTTTTGTTTGTGTTAGCGCGCCGCTCTCTTGGGTGTGAAGTATTTCAGGATGATTCTTATTTTACATAATATTAGGCTATGGTCGCTACCTACATCTGCTGAGTTGAGGTATCTTATGTCGATCTTTTTCGATGGATGTGTATCTGTGTTGGTTATAACATAATCTATCATAGATCCTTGTCCACGGGTGTTATTAAATGTATATTTGTATTGGTCTGTGTGGTCAAAAAATGTGGTGTTTATTATATTATATCTCATTCTGGAAGCGTACTTTATCAGCTTTCGAGATCTGAAAGAATTTTTAATCTGAAACCGATGGTAATTTATTTATTTTTCCAACTATATTAGATTGGAAAAAAAAATGATATGAGTTGATCGCGATGATCGATGCAAGATTACTGGAACTTCAATAATTTTTATAATATTTAGGACGGGAATAGGTAGCTATATTTTACTGATAATTTTTTCTTTGTCCGCTATCGACTGACATAGGGCCTGCGATCGACTGACATAGGGCTCGCAATCGACGGGTTGGCCTCCCCTGCTATATGCTTTACAAACTTTAGTTCACATACTATTTTTATTATGTTTCTATTGAATGTGTCTAATATTTGGTGTCATTAAGTTATCCGATTTATTTGCGGTTTTATTATTCTAAAAATTATAAATACTAATGTTATTTAGAAAATCTATTTCGAATTTTAGGAAGCTTACAATTTATACACAGAAGCACTTCAAGTAGATCCTTTCAATAAAAAAACCAACGCAAAATTATACTTCAATCGTGCCACAGTTCTAGCGAGACTAACTAAGACTCGTGAAGCTATAGAAGACTGTACAGCTGCCCTGAACTTAGATGACACTTACCTTAAAGCACTCATGAGACGAGCCAAATGTTATATGGATCTTGGCGAGTTTGAAGATGCTGTGAAAGATTATGAAAAAGTATGCAAAATGGATAAGAGCAGGTACGAAAATTTTGTTACCTTTTTTTTTTGTTTCCTTTTCTATGCAATATAATTTGATTATGAACATATCTCTAGTGAATTTTTATTTGGATGGCCACCATACATGTGATTTTAAACAATTTTCTTTTAAATAACGCATATCCCTAAAGTTTTCGGAAATAATAAATTATGTATTTTCTAATAATTGTAAATTAAGTTTATTTTATTAACTAAATACAGAACAGGAAGTTAAGTCTACATATTTAGGGTTTATAATGTGTTTTTATAGAACAGCTCTGAGATGGCACACCATACCAAAATTTTATCGGCACATTTCACTTCTCCCTTAAACCTAATTTCGTCCGGTGCATCTTGTACATTGCGTGTATAAAATCCGTTGTTGCCCTTCATTTCGGAACTGGATAAAGTAAAATAGTTTTCATCATCAATAATGAGAATTTTACCAGGAAAATGAATACTTCTCAATTCACGGCAACATCTAGGAATTTTTTCTAACTGGACTGGTGTGTACTTAGGAGCTTTTTTCTTCTTCTTTTATATCGTTTTAAATTGTTTCTAGAAATTGTTCTACTTACAGTCATTCGTGAAACATTATATCTTCGGCCAACATTTCGCAGAGACTTTCCTAATTGGTTTTCCATACTCTGAATTAATCTATGTTCCCGAGCAGGAGTTAAAACTCTTGGTCTTCCACTTTTGGGCAAATTAAGGCATAGTATACCATTTTCGCACTTTTTAATTGTCTAGTAAATCGTTGACACAGAAATATTTTGAGCACTAAAAATTCTTATAATATTGCGTTTTGATACATGTCCAACTAATCGATAAATACTTTCACGAATATTAAGTTTGTACGACATCTTAACGAACCGTATTTGTTAAAGGCCCGTTTTCACGCTACGTCTTATTGTACGTTTTGTTGGATAGGACAAATCCTATACAATAAAACGTGGCGTGTAAACAGAAAACGTACGTCTTGTCGAATCGAAATGAAATCCAAGGTCAGATCGTAGAAATGATGGGAGAAGCATACTTTTGCGAGAACTGATAGGATAAAACGTTACGTGTAAATACTTGTTCAGACAAGTCATCCGATCTTGACTTCAGTCTCAGTGTTCCCAAACCTACCGAAAAATCGGTAGATGTACCGATTTCGCCATTTTTCTACCGATGTACCCAAAAAGACTTAAATTCTACCGAATTTTATATTCAGATAGAAATTTTTACTTATTCTTAAATTTGAGAAGGAATAATAAGAAACAAAACAATTTTCTTGCGATACCTGTAATTTGCATTGAGCATTGTTGTGTATTCATGAAAACGTGTGAAAACATTCAAAAATTTATTCTTAAATGATACCTAAGCGGTACTTTACAAAGAACATGATGTCATAAAAGCTAATAATACAATAATAAATGAATCCAAATTCATTGTGATCCCGACCGCTTGGTTCTGGGAATTTGTCAAGTTAAGAGAAATGAGGTAAAAAACGGAAGGAAAAACGTAGTGTGTATACACTAGACAAAACGTACGTTTTGTCGTACGTTTTATATGACCAACAAACGTACAATAAGACGTAGCATGAAAACGGGCCTTTTAAAGCTGACATTGTTTATATCGTTTAAGTTGTTTACTAACTTTGGTTTCCAATGGCAACTATTCCTTGTTTTTTCATTTCTACCGAGAGTGGTACACTATCGTATGCCTTTGTCAGATATATAAAGACTATCTCTCTTATTAATAAACACGGACTAACCTTGGACTAACATTAGTTCCAGGACTACACCAAAAACATTCATTTTTCGTATTAATAAACAGCGACTAAGGACAGACTAAGCTAAACCTTGGCTAGTCTCGGACTAACATTTAATCCGAGGTAGTGGCAGGTTTAGAGAGTGACTAACTTGACAATTTGACATTGAGTGAAGTTTTGTTTTGGTATTCATAACCTGAATTGTTTTTGATTATTCATACATTATTTAATAATGGAAGATTATTTTATCAACGACTTAAGATTAATAGAACAACTTAATGACCATAGAAATCAGTGAAATAATATTCATATAAGACATATTAAAATATATATAAAATTTATTTAATAAAATATTTTACAATTCATTATGTTTATTAGTATTTTTTATATTTTCCCTTTGTAATAAAATATTTTTTAAAGTTTCCTCCTGAACTTTTATGAAGTTTAAACTTTTCAGATAAAAAAAATACTATAAAATATAAACAAACTTTCTCAGAACACAGTACATAGTCCAACTAAAATTAACTCTACGTGCCCCAACTTGCTAACTGTCAAATTCTCAAATATTTTTCTTCTTTTTCACAAAATTCTCTCCATTTTTTTTCTTTTTCGCAATGGTTGCCAACATAAACTTGTTCTACCTAGGACTAAGGAAGGTTTAGTTAGTCTGAGCTTAGTCCATGTTTATTAATAACATTCTGAAAATGAAGTTAGTAGTCGCTTAATCTGGGACTAACTAGTCCGAGATTAACTTCCTACTAAGCAATTTTTATTAATAAGATTGTATGAGTTTAAAGATTGTGAACTAATCTTTTCGCAAACACACTCTATAGAAAAAATATGCTTGCTGTACAGGGTCTACATCTACGAAAGCCATTTGTACTTCTACATCTGTCACTTTTATTTTTTTTTTTAATTTTTTTTCCATACAGTCTTGAGACTGAATTTATGACCCTCTGTAGTTTGAACGATTTTTTCTCTCCTTTTGTGTAGTTGTCGTTAATGTGTGCTAATAATTTTTGGTTTTTTATAGAGAAAATAAAAAATTACTTCAAGACGCGAAATTAGCACTAAAAAAATCAAAGAGGAAAGACTATTATAAAATACTCGGTGTGGAGCGGACTGCAGGTGAAGATGAAATCAAAAGGGCATATAAGAAGAGGGCGCTCATCCATCATCCTGATAGACACGCCAACGCTACAGAAGAGGAAAAGAAGGAACAAGAAAAGAAATTCAAAGAAGTTGGTGAGGCGTACGGTATACTTTCAGATCCCAAAAAGAAAGCCAGATACGATAGCGGACAGGATATGGACGATTTCGAGGGAGGAATGTCAGGTAATTTTAAGTTTTTCAATAAAATCGCATGCTTAAAATATAATAATCGTGTATTGGTATTCAAATAAAATTTTAATATGATAAACATGAACTTGCATGGTCAAAAATTCCGGAGGTTTGGAGGATCTAGTGATTTTAAAAAGGGATGATTTCAGGGATGATAAGTATTAGTAGGATGTTTAAACTTGTTAAAAAAATTGTTAGAACAAAAGCAGTAAACAGATTGTTTGCGGTTTCTTGATAAAAAAAAATGAATTCAAAAAGCATTGTTTTTGGTGGTCGGTTCATTTCGTAGGCCTATTTCTGAACATTTACATTAAAAAATGTCTGCCCCAATTCGGTATCTCACATGCCGAAGATTGTGCAAACACTCGTGTGACTATCTGTACACAAGTTGAAATGACTTGAGAAATTGAAGTAAGAACTATGTAAATGCCTTAAGAAAAGAAATCGAAGAAGTAAAAGAGTTGTGCAATCTTTAAATGATAAACGAGTGGGTAACAAAACGAAATGTTTTTAGAATTGTTAAAATATTAAGCTAACATGGCGTGACAAAGAACATACCATAGGCTAATACCAAAGAAGAAAAAGTCTTTAACTTTTTTAATTCCGGTAATGTTTACAGTAGATATTAATTGCATATCTTCTAAAAAGTGCTGATTTATACGACTTCCGCATTCAAGTAGGTACTTACTATCTATATACAATATATAAGAAGTAAACCATATTACTTTCATATTAAATTATATATCATTACTCTTAATAGTTTCATTTCTGTAGTTCTCATCAATATTTTGCAAGCGACGTTGGTGCCTTTATTTCCACTGCTTTTTATAATCGTGATATCATTATTATATAAGTAGACAATAATGATGCAGAAATTCTACTGAATCAACGAGGTGTGATGTGGATGAATCTCATAAGCAGTCAAGTTGGTTATCGAGCCATTCGGCTTACAAATTTGAAAAATATGAATATCAATATTTATATAATTAAATAATAATGAAGTGAGAAAGATATATTTGAATTTAAAGTGGTATGAATTCGACAAAATTTGTCTCTTCTTCTTCAAGTGCCGTCTCCATCAATGGAGGTTAGCGGTTATGGTGGCAAACGTTTGTCTATCTTCAGCTGCTCTTAAGAGTTCCTCAAATCCAAGTCCTGTCCAGTTTCTGATATTACGTAACCAGGACAATTTTTTTCTTCCAATTCCTCGCTTTCCTTCTATTTTGCCTTTTATTATCAACCGAGGGATGTAGTATTTCTCGTTGCGCAACAAATGCCCTAAATAACTGGTTTTTCTTCTTTTGACTGTTCTCAATAGTTCTTTTTCTAAATTGAGTCTAGCTAGTACTTCTTCATTTGTTTTTCGTGCTGTCCAAGGAATTTTTAAAATTCTACGGTACACCCACATTTCAAATGCCTCGATTCTATTCAGGCTCTTTATTTTTAAAGTCCACGTTTCGGCTCCGTAGAGAAGAACAGACCAGATAAAACATTTTACAAGTTTTAATCTCAATTTAATATTTATATGTGTATCGCAGAATAGAACGCGTATCTTAAAGAAACTGTCCCTAGCTTGAGCAATTCTCGCTTTAATTTCTTGTTCTGGGTCCAGCTTGCAATTAATCCAACAGCCAAGGTATTTGTATTGGTTTACCTGTTCTAAAATATTCCTATTTATTTTTATAGGTAAGGGGATTCCTATTTATTTTTCTGTTTCTTTGGATCACCATTACTTTTGTTTTTTTTTTCGTTGATCTTCATTCCAAACTCTCGACAAGCATCCTTAAGGTGGTCTATAACCCTCTGTAAGTTTGTGTCTGTATCAGCCAGTAGGACAGTGTCATCTGCATATCTTATGCTAGATATTGGTTCTCCATTAATTTTTATTCCTGTGGAAAGGTTTTCCAAGGCTTGCTTGAATAGTAGTTCCGAGTAAAGATTGAACAGCATAGGGGATAGTATGCATCCTTGCCTTACTCCTTTATTTATACTAATATTTCTAGATGTATGATCGTCGATCCTAATCTTGGCACTCTGCCTCCAATATAAGTTCTTAATTAATCGGAGATCTTTACTATCCAAGTTGATGCTCTGCAAGGAATTTAACATTTTATTATAGTTTACGCGATCAAATGCCTTTTCAAAGTCTACAAAACATAGAAAGACATCCTTTTGTTGGTCGTAACACTTCTGCAGCAGTACTTGTAATGAAAACAAGGCCTCTCTGGTCCCCATTCCGGCTCTGAATCCAAATTGATCGTATCCAACTTTTTTTTCACACCTTTTGTATACCCTATTGTGAAGTATTTTTAATAGAATTTTAAGCACTTCGCTCATAAGACTTATTAATCTAAAATCTGCGCATCGCCTGGAGTTAGCTTGTTTTGGAATGGGAATAAAAATAGATTCTAACCATTCCTCTGGTATTTCCCCAGTATCGTAGATTGTATTAAACAAAATTACTAACAAATCAATGTTATTACTTTCGATCAATTTAAGTATTTCAGGATAAACTTCATCAGGTCCAGGGCTTTTGTTGGTCTTTAAGTGTTTAATGGCATATTCCACTTCGACTTTTAGAATTGGTGGGCTTTCAGTAACATTATTTATTGTAATGTCTATTCTTTCATCTCGGAACAGCTGTTCTATAAATTTTTCCCATTCTTCTATTTTATCTTTGGTGTTATGAATTAACTCTCCGTTGTTATTTACCAGTGGGCAATGTTGTTTTTTGCGGATGAATGAAAATTCTTTCACCTTCTTGTACATATTAAAGTAATCATGTCTATGTTCTAATTCTTCTATTTCTTTACATTTTTCTTCGAGCCATTTCTCTTTTGATTCTTTTATTTTCCTTCGTATTTCTGTATTTAATCGTTTGTAATCGCTTGTGTTCTTATTTTTGTATTTCCTCCTTTCGTCTATCATCTTTAGAATAGCTGGTGTCATCCAGTCTTTTTTTGCCATTAATCGTGTATTTGGAATTTCTTCCCTTGCAGAATTGACGAGGATGGATTTTATTTGTTGCCAAGTTGTATTTATATTTTGGATATTTATTTGGGTTCGGTCTATTTCTGAGAGTTTTTCATTTAGTTTTACAGTGGTTTTATCTTTAATCTGTACATCTTTTAGTAGTTCCATATTAGGTTTGTTCTTCGGCTTTGCATTTTTTATTACTTTAATTCTTGTGCGAATGTTTGCTACTACAGGGTTGTGGTCGGAATTTGCATCAGCACTGGGATATGTTTTTGTACTTGTAATGGAGTTACGAAATCGTTGGTTGATTAAAACATAATCTATTTGATTTCTTATTATTCTTTCTTTTGTGTGTAGCGGGGAAGTCCAGGTGTATAACCTACGTTGAGGTAACTTAAACCAAGACAAAATTTATAAGATACAAATAATTGAAAAAAAAAAAAATAATTTTTAAGCAAAATCCAAGTATCTTGGTTACTACTTTATCGAGCTATTATAACCGCTTGTATTCCTCTGGGTAGAACTATTATCAAGTTTTGAATGGTTGTTTTGGAAATGTTCCATTATAACAGAACAACATGCTCCAATTATTGCATGTTCATTGGGGCAGGTACATGAAGCCGAGCTGATTTTTTTTTAGAACATTGCCCAATTCAGTTCTTGTACCATTTTACATAAAAATGAGAATATCTCTTAACGGTACAAGCGACGTAACATAATATTATATTTTCCATATATAAATCTGCATTCATGGACTGCGTAGGAATGGAGATCAATTCGGTGTATGCGTGCAAATAAATTTCTAAAACATTTTTGATCCAACTCCAAACTCCTCCAAAATCCAACTCCTTTTGAGAGATAGTGCATGACAAAACCTTTTGCTAGGCCCCGCCATATTCTATCTTAACTATCTGTAGATTTTAGACTTCATCTGTTTTAACAACATTAGAAATCCTAAGATTTCCTACTTGGCGAAACTAAATTCAAATTTTTACCACTGCACTTTCTAAAACTTGCAAAGTAGACAGATTGATAAATTAGTCGATAAGGGAATCTAATTTGCGTTCCACATGCCGTTCATCACGGCAAAGATTCGGAGTGAATTTAGTTTATAGTACTCGAAACCGAATAAAGAACTAAAACTAGAGAATTTGCATATTACGCTCTGATGATACCTAATGAGGTTGAAATACGTATAAGCGGATGGCAGATGCCCAGCATTGAAATTAAATCTAATAACCGTTTTTCTGTTTTATCTGCGAACTTAATTCTTTTCTAGTCATCGGTAGCCCAATCTGTATCATCACTACGTACGTCATGTATGTAGTGATGATATCTCATTTACGATAAGGATCTTAGACTGAGAGGTCTTCGAATAGCCAATCTGGCTCCTTTTAATCTGCTGACGTTCAGAGCAACAATTTTACTTAAGCTACGTTTCCTGACATGTGATCTGTGCCCCTAAGTCTTCTTGACTAATTGCTGAATGAAAACAATTAACAAATTGTCCTCATAACGCATATTTCGCTCATCTTAAAGCAAGGTTCCAGCTTTTTCAAATTCATTTGCCTAAATTACTTTTAAGATTGTTTCTGTAACACTTTTAAGATTGAAAGGTTTAGCGCTCATAGGCTAAATGCTGATCTTACGAAATATCCTTTTTTACAAAAAAGAAAATCATTTAAACAACAACTTTATACATGCAAAAAAACTGAAAGGCCATGAACAGGTCATACTTGTTTTTTAATGAGCCAAGTGAGATACACTATACTTGCAAAAATTCGTAAACGACAATATTGTCACACTGCATTGTAAAGTGCAGGTGGTACGATAATTTTGAGCAAAGATATATTTAATTTTGAACTCAATTTCACCAAAAAATGTTTATCTGATTATTTTAAAATGAAAAGTTTTATATATACATTACTTCCTTTAAGTCAATCGCGCGTCATCATTGTAGTTGAAATATTAGAGACTGCAGGAAATTATCTTCTTGCAGTGAATATCCGTTACGGGTATTTGCCTACCAACCTGGCTATTCTATTTTATTGACAGCTGCTTTAAAAAATTATGTAGTCGTTAAGTTGTAGCAATCTTGAAGATTACGCAGCTCTGATATCCTACGCCTCTCTGTCCATCCAAGACATTCTCAGTATCTGTCTGTAGCACATTTCAAGTGCTTCAAAGCGCTTCATGGTTTCTTCGGATAAAGTCCTTGATTCCCCTCCGTACACAGGAACGGAGAAAACATCTCAGCAAGCTGACCTTAATTGGGAGTTGTAGATCGTAATTACTGAAAATCTTTTTTATTTTGATAATTACTGATCTTGCCTTCTCATTCCTCACTTTTATCTCCTTCGAGTATTTCCACCGATTCTACCAAATTATTTTTTTTTGTTGTCTTTTCTGTCTTTTTAGTGTCTCGATTTCTGTACATGGTCTTCTATCCACATATTTTTAGCTTATCTAATTGTCTTTTATATTTATTTGTCAGTTTGCTGATATCTTGCATTGTCCTTTCCTATGACTTTTTTTATCCATCATCTTTAGTATGTTATTGTTTATCCAAGCTTTTTCATCTCTGTTCCTCTTTGGCACTGGTGTTGATCTAGTATTTTTTTACTAATATTTTTTAGTTTAGTTAACTTTTATTGTGCGTCGTTTATTTTTTCGGGTCCAGGTATATTGTTTCTCCGATATTCTTGTACCACTCGTTTTTTATCGATCTCCCTTACTACTGTCCGAGCTGGGGTATGTTTTTACCAGTGTTAGTGAATTTCTAGACCTTTTAATAATAATTAAGATGTACTCGATCCAAATTCGAACGATATGTTGTGTGTCTTGATGTGATCGCAATGTATACAATGTTCTCTGTGGTAATCTAAAGTAGGTGTTGGTAATTACTAGTTAGAAAATAAAACTGCGCAAATTAAAACAAAAAATCAAAGGTTTAATGTTAAAATTTTTGAAATTGTTTAATCGTTTATAGATTTGTGTATAGAAATAAAAAAATTACTATTTACAAAATAGTTTTTGTAGAATCAGCATTTGCCTGTTGTAAATATAGTAAAAAAATAAGTAAAATAAAACTAACATTAATTGCCGCCAATCAATATTTATTTACAAAATATTTTGGGGAAATAAACTATTAATAATTCTATAAAGTTAGCAGTCAATCAGTAAAGCTTAAGACAATGCGAAATCTGTTTTGACATTTTCGTATGATCGAACCAACATAAACTTTGGTTTTTGTTTTTATAATATTAATTTTTGCTCATCAGCTCAGTATGTTAAATTTTAAGGAATATATTTTTTAAATATATATGGAAAATGTTATGGGTCTTGTATACACCCCTACAATGAAATAATTCTGCAATAGTAAGTTTATTTGAGCTGTTAACAGTGTGCGGCAGGAATTTTTGTGTGGTAGGTTTTCCGACTAGGTATGAATCTGTCAAAATATTCCCGAGCTGAGTGAATATACTACTAAATTATTTCTATAAATTTTATTTTATTGAAATATATATATATATATATATATATATATATATATATATATATAAAGTATTTAAAGTAATTTTAAAATTATTGTCATGAAATTGCTAAGAAGTTTGTTACACTTGGACGACATAGAAATGACATTGACAACTTGCAATAAAATTAAAAAGAAATTATGTATATAATGGTCATTGGTCAAAGCTTCAAAGTCTACCTGGATTGTAAACAGTTTTTTCGTTGCAACGTTCATTTTTTCAAATTTACTACTTTATATTTGAGTTCCGCGTTATTGGTGATTATTAGATCATTCGATACGAATCTCAAAAATGACCAGAGTTTGCTCACACTATACTCTCTTTTTTAACCAGGAGGAGTAAACCAAAAAGACAGATTCACACCCAAGAAAGTTACTAGAAAAGTCACCAAATACATCTTTTTTGTTGATTATCTCGGACTTGCGGTAATTGAGTAATCAATATCGGACAACCTTACACGTCAATTTTAACCCAAATTTATGTTTGAATAATATTTTTTTTCAATTCACTTCCAATATATATTACAATGATTACAATAACAAAAGGACGTTTTTCACATTTGGTCTTATGTATATATATTTAAATATCGGATGATCCAGTTTTATTTGTCTCTTGAGTCTATGGTATTTAATTATAATTTAGAGAATATTTTGATCGGGAGAGTCAATAATATTACAGATCTGAGTATGGTTTTTCACAGAAGTTTGTCTTTTCATTTGCAAATAGATGTTGTATAGCTATGCAAATGCATGTATCAAAAAGTTGGAAAGAGTTCAAAGACTTCTGAAATACTGTTCTTTTAAACTGCGTAGACCATATTCTTATTCTGGTGTTATCAATTTCTTGAATCTAGTTTTTTTTTTCTTACCAGAAGAGTTAACTTTAACTTTGATCATTATTTTTAAGCTTTATAATCCAATCTCCTGAATTGCTTCAGCCAATTTGTTTTACATATTCCTTCCCGTTCACTGCTTTAGAATTTACTTTTTCATGTTTCCCATCACAGAATAAATTATGGTTCAAGTATAGGTGTGGTCCTACTTTTCATGCAGGGTAATCAGTTACCTCATTAGATAGATTTGTTTAAGTTATGTATCAATATCTTTAGGTTCTATTTGAAGCACTAAAATGCAAAAATATACTTTGTATAAATAAATGTGTACTTACAATTTCTTTAATGCTGGATTCTTGTTTAATTTTGACAGTTTGTCCAATTTGTTATCAATAAATAAAATTTACTAAAAAATACTGGATTTCTGTGAGATAATCAACAAATTCAATCTTTTATGTTACATTCTAGCATAATTTTGCAGTTTTCTTGTGATGATCTACAACCAGGAAGAACAAAACCAAATGTATCAATACAATCAAACTAAAACACAGCATTACTTTACTAATGTTCTTTTATTGTGATAAAAACAAAATGAAAATGCTTCTTAACAAGTATACACTAAATTTAAACGATACTTGCCGTTTTTCTTATAATAATTAGATATAAATTACATACATTTATAAATTTATAAATACTTTAAACTATATTTAGTATAAATATCCTCTAGAAAAATATCACATTAAATACTATTCGCATATCACCAAGTCCAAGTTGTTACAAACAACTTAAAGAGTCAGAAAACGATTTATATATTAGAGGAAAATAATATTCTGTGCATAATATATATTCGGGATGTATGTAAAAATTTATTAGTCTTCCAAAATTTACCTCTCCATTTATGTCTTGGTGAGGTTCATGAACAACTACACCATTTTGAATTTCTTCATTTATAGTTTTTTAGCAAAAACTAAGTCTATTTCAGATATTTGAGCAAGAAAGATAGAAAGATAGATAGATAGATTCAGATATTTTGTTTTTAGTCAGCAGCCCAATGTATAAACCATTCTTTGAATAATTTCACCTAAAAAATAACTATGGTAAGACATTCATAATATAGACAATAAATCAATCATCCTATAAACAGTAAGATACACAATATATAGTTATGCTATGCAATATTTGCTGTAATGAATCTGCTTATATGTAAAGTAAAAAATATTCTTTTTTTCTTTTCTTCCCTTTCCATGTTATGTTATATCTGTTGAACCAAAATACTTGACAACATTCCAGTAGAGTATACGATTAAAAACTTAAATTAATTTTTTTAATAACTTAGGTACTTTATGACATCATTACTTAGTATACCTACTCATCATCAAACATACCAAGTATAATATCTTGAAATGAGAACAGTGAAATGTAAGTACAGGATACTTAAAATGAAAATATTTGTACACTGGTATGTTTCCAAAAACATGTAACACAAAGGCTGTTGTACTTATTTCTATAAATAGGAAAAATATTTTGATATTTTGATCAAACATGAAGGGTACTATTACAATAATTTCTCATGTAGCTCATACATTTTAATTACAAAATCTATTTAGTAGTAACAATAATATATCCGATTATAAAAATGAGTCCTATAAAATGTTTTATATAATTTTACTATATAATTGTGGCTAACCCATATTACTTACTTCAAATTGATTTGCTTCAAGAATTTATATAATAATGAACGACAAATATTTTGGAAGATCTGAGCGGTTGTTACTTTCACTTGAAGTGGGCATTTCATTCTTGAAAAAGAAGCTGTGTACTATCTGTCGTATAGATGTTTTAACTCTTTCATCGTATGTTGCAATCGAACGCCAATATTTTTAGAACATCTTACTGTTCAAGTCTGCTTATATTCTTTAATTGTTCGGTAAATAGTTGAATTCGCAACACCAAAAATTAGTACATTACTTTAGTAAGTCTTGATTTTAACAATAACTATTCTGCACAACTAACCTGCTCTCTGTTTTATTTTTGTTACCGTGGCTGTTATTTTCATTACAGAATTATCAATTTTTATTATTTGTTTGTACATGTTTATAATACATTATTTCTCATTTGATGATAAATGACCCAAATATACTTGGCGTTTTTAATGTGGAGAAGAATAATTACCCTTAGTACTTGGCATTGAATCTATATTGCTATCTTAATAACACTAATATGTCGCTAAATAGTTCTGAATAGAACTGTATATAAATGCAAACGACAAATCTAAAAATATAACGAATAACGCAGAAAATACAAAAAATCGTCGATATAAATTTTGAATTTTAAAATTTCACAAATGGTATTAGTGTCAGTATGTCATAATTTAGTGGAGTAAACTTGCCTGCGGTTGGACCAATTACAATCAAGCATTACGGCGCGGAAAATTTGATTCTCCTCGTTAAAAAACAGACCATAGAACTGAATCTTTTTGCATTTATGTACTAGACATGTTTTTTATTTAAGTAGAAATACAGAAACTTAACCTTACGTATTATTTTTCAGACATAGATCCTAGCCAAGTATTCCAAACCTTCTTCGGAGGAGGCGGAGGAGGCCATCACCACGGAGCTCAAGAATTCTCCTTCGGCAATTTCCCTGGTTCGTTCACCTTCCAGTTCGGTTAAACCATCTGCAACAAGGACGTACCTCGTACATTCCAGTGGTTGTAGAGATTTTATTTCTCTTTTTGTGTTATTGAAGTTATCTTTCTCTGATTCGTTTTAGTATTTATTTTAATTTTAAAGTTTTTTAAGGAAATTTTAAGATTTTCAACAGTAAGGGTGCAAAGAGTAAGTCAGTTAACCCATCAAGGAAGCGTGCGAAAAGGTATAAACGTTTTTCAATTTAAAGTGTGTTACTTTATCCAATAAGAACTGTTCCGGTTAATATATCCCTTTAAGATTTGATTATTTGAAATTCTCTAACTTCGATCCAATCGTACATCCTAACAAAGAACGCGAAATCCTAAAGAAAAAAGTATGTTAATAAGCTCGTAAAACAGAAAATATAAATAGAAAAGGAATATTCAGAAAAATAAGTCGGGATTAAAATGATCATTTTTTATTTTAAACATATGTACAAGTCTTTAATATATTTTTATCTTCTATGAATTACTTTTGTTCTAATATTATATATGTATCTTGTATTCTAACTTCCTTCTTTATTTTGGAAATGTTTATAAATTAAAGCATCATAGGCTTCCATAACAAGAGCCTAATTTCAATAAGTCATCTTCTATGCTTGGACCGTCTCATTTAGTATATTCATCTTCTGCAGTGTCAAAACCCGAAATAAAATTAAATATAAAAATATTAAATTGAGTAAAATTACAGCATATAGTATTCTTTAGTTAAGCGCCTTTTCTGATAGGTGCAATTTTGAGCAAAAATCCTACATTGCAGGACTTGAATAGCTAGTTTATTTTCTGGTATTCATATGACGACTAGACATTTCTAAAATACTTAAAAACTGAGAAGGCGATTTATTGAATATATCATTCGTTTGTTTTTTGGAATGTACTCGAACTTATAATATTTCCATGTATTGAATTTTGTGGTATAGTTTTACTTCAAACAACTTTTAGTAATTTAGATAAGAAAAGGAATAAAAGTAGAGCTAAATACTGATATCATAATATCTTAAAAATGATCACAACAGCTCTTTATTTAAATTACCAATATTGGTACATGGCTTTTTAGACTTATTTTTTATATCTTTCATATTTCGCCACTATTAAATATTACAAAAGTTCCGCAATTGCTACCTTATTATATAGTAGAAATCTAAGTGATTTTTCTGATTTTTTTAAGCAATTATGCTATTTTCACAATAAATACTCCTTTATTTTGGCCAAAGTCATTTGTAGAGAAGAACTGTTAATCAGTTGTTTTTTTTATTTGTTCGTGTCGGAACTTTCATACATTCTAAAGTAGATGTATATACATTATAGATTATTAACATCGCATACATAACAGATAAAAGGTATATATGTAACATATAAGTAATTAGAGCACGAAAAAAAAAAATAAAAATGGGACTACTACACACTTGTTATTCAAAAATTGGCGATGCCAAGAGCAGTTGGTACAGCGAAAGGCCTCCACTGAGCATGTGGCTGGAGGGAAACCCAGAAGGACAAACCAGAAAGTGTTCTGTAGTTTGCTCATCTCCACAGTCGCATAGGGCCGACTCACAGGGGAAGTCCCAGTTTATTCGCTTGGCTCTGAATCTTTTCACCCCAACACGAAGTCTATTGGCACTTTCCATCCATTCATTACTGTTGTCACTTTGACCTCTCCAATAGCTCAGTGTAATCTCTTGGGCTGGCTCAGTCAGATCTTTCAAAGAAGAAAACTTTTCCTGGATTTAAGGCGTTGGCGGGCTGATTGGTAGTTATAGAAAGAATGTGCGTGTGAGGTGGATGCTTTATGTTTTTCTTCGATAATAATCAAATTTCATTTATAGCTGCATCTACCTGACCGGCGTGGCATTATCTGTATCATACCGGGCAAGCATATTCCACTGCGAAGTATCATAGGGCCATAGTACTAGTTTTCAGTGTCTGCGGGTGTGCTCGAGGACTCGAGATAATTTTTGTTTAATAGTTTCGAAGTCGCCGACATGGATTGTAAAGACAGACTCGTTTGATTAGATAAATCTGTGTTTTCCTGTTAGTAAGGGTTGGTCGTTCGGATGGATGTTAAGTATAATTGGGACTAAAACGTTTCTTTGTGGCAGCCCATTTTTTTGTGTCCTTCAGCGACTTCTGTTTCGTTGGGATTCTACGAAAAATCTGCGATTTGGAAGCAATTTTTTATTAAATGGGTGAAATTTAAGTCTGGTCTGCTAAGTTTCGGAATGAGCAGCTTATAGTAAACCGTGTCATAGACAGATGTAAGATATGTAAACACTTCCCCAGTAATTTTGTGATTTTCGAAACTATCTTCTGTGATGAAAATGATGAAAAAACATTCATTCATATCTGCTATGTATTGAGGTAGTTTAAATATTTGCTTCACTTTCTTGATCTAAATAATTTACATACCTTCTCATTACAAATAGTGAAATGAAAGTTGAGATTATGGAGTATTTGCTGTATTAAGTAGACTGTAACTAATATTTGCCTGCTTTTCAAAAACTAGATTGCATTAATAGCCTAGACACCTTTTACATAATACATATTCAAGGTCTCCATCTCTAGCTCGCATAATAATATCTCTAACCAGTTGAAGATTGACAGTGCAAATGATAGGTGTCTCATGAGAAAATGTAATCTTGTTAAGAACGCCAATATAAACAAGCTCTTTCGTTGCGTTTTCCTGGATCTAGGACACTGCACAACGTTTTGTTGTACAAAACTTGTATATTTTAAATAAGAAATTACCTTAGTAATAAAATAAAAGTTTATAAATTTGTAAGTTGTTTTATTATCCTAACATAAAATTCTAACTAATTATACAAGTCGTAATTAGGTTTGCCGAGACTATTGGTGTGCAACTACTGTTACTTCAGGGAAATAAGCAAAATTTAACTGTGTTCAGGACATCGCAATAGCCAGAGTTTTTTCTTTAATATACGGTAAGAAAACATAGATTTGAATGCAATCTTTGATGTATGAAAAATGCAAATTTTTGTTTACCAGTAAGAAGATATCTATATTAAATATAAACCTTTTATCAGTTAAAAGATAGAATAATCATAATATAAGACTTGAACTTAAAGAAAACTAAAAAAGTAGCAAAGTTGTTAATTTTAAATAACTTTTAATAAAATTCACACTTTTGTTATTTTGTGATTATTGTCAAAAGGGAATCTTATGCTTATCCTCCAAAATTTTAGCATGATCCGTTAATAACTTATTCATGTGAAAATGTTATTCAAATTTGTTTATCCCAGGTATATTTTTTTTGTAGTAAAATGACATAAAATAATAAAGGTACGGTAATTCTACAGGTACTGTATGAAAGATGAAGCCTTTTATCTTTAATTTACACTAAAAAAAATTACTTTGAAAAGTTACTGATATACCAGAATAACTATTACTCGTAGACGAGATATTTTTGCACATTTGAATTTTTAACTAAAAAAAAAGTAATTCTGGGTTAATTAGATAAAAAGTAGGGAATTACTGTTTTATAATAAGTAAGAGACATTAGTCTCATTTTAAAGTAAAGGCCTTACTCTTGATTGAAGATATCGTTGGAAACAAAAATAGATGAGCCGCCACTTGTTCGTAGGTGTGTAGGTCTTACGAAGTTGTAACTAGTGTAGTTTTTTAGGTAGGGGTTGTGATCTTTGGTGAAATTGGTTTCTTGAAGACAGATAAATTTAGGCGAGCAGTCTGATATGAGTTTTTGTAAATATTCTAGTCTGGGGTAAAAGCCATCGCAGTTCCATTGAATTAGTCTTAGCATAGTGTTAGTATTAGAAGGAGCTGAATTGGGAGGATTGGGATGGTTGTGAGCTGTCAGAATTGTAGTTATGTTCATTAGAATCGGCGGAAAGATTAGGACTGGGCGTACTTTCGGGTTCTTCTGGATCAGTGCCTAAGGCCTTTATTAGTTTTTTGGTTAGACGGGTTAGCCTGTTTTTGATAGATCTCTCCTGACAAGTTGGGTAAACTGGGGGAATAACAAGTGATTCTGAGGTTTGCTTAAAGGCTTCTTTGATAGCGTCTTTTGTTAGATCGGAAAGGTAACGTTCTGACGGTGAACTTGTTCTGGGTTTCTTTTTTGGTTTTTTAATGTCTCTATTAGGGGGAGGCATGAAGTTGTCCTCGGATGGATTTGCGACCGAGATGTTATCGGGAATATCAGTTTGCTCACTTGTACTCTCAATTTCGGAGCGGCTGCGTTTATGTGTGGGCGTTTTAGTCATTATGGAATTGTTTAGTTCTCAAGCAGACATATGTGTTAATGTTGCGGGTTGTATAAAAGACTGGTGGTGAGGGGTCTGTTTTCTGGGTTGATGTTAACGGCTGAGGCTGGGATGCTATATAATTGGGTGGAGGATTGGGACAATTTGAGGCAATATGCCCTGACTTCTTGCATATGTAGCATTCCATTTTGTCTGTGGACAAAAATATTCTGTTTTCATTACCTTCGAATGGGATAACTAATGAAGTTTGCAGATTAAAATTGTCATCAGAGGTAAAAACATACACTTGCTTCTAAAGCTCATGATGTGTGAATATTCATCGCCGGGGATAACTGCTCTTAAAAATGAGACGGGGAGGCCAGTTGGAGCCCAAGTTCTTTTATAGCATTTTCTGCAAGGTCGTGTGGTATACATGGAGATATATTGGATATTATTATTCTTTTGTGGGGGAGACTAGCCTGCGAACATTCATTACAGAGTTTCCTATTGTCAAAATGGGATGAGATTTTAGAAGTTTGTCGACGAGTTCTGAGTTAGTTAAATATATACAAATTCTGTTATTGGATATTCTGGATGCGAATAGGATTTGTTTGGGACAGATAGCGTCACCTACTGCCGTAATCGAACAATTTTAGATTTTCATCGGCATGTAATACTATGGCTTGATCCCTCTTTGGAAAAGTTGATCTAGGAGTTAATTTGGTTGCAGTTGCGTATGAGAAAGTTGAAGTAGAATTATGCTGAATATTTTGTGACATCTTGAAAAGTTGTGAACTGTGAGGATCTGATGTGAGAACTGTATTTGTTATCGGTACCCTTGTAGTCAAAGGTAGACGAAAATTTAATTATTTGTTAAATTTAGCTAGGTTTTATGTATTTTCTTCCAAAAATACATATTAGGTAGGCCTACGCCACTGGAAACTGGCCCAGTTTTGAAGAAATTAATAATTTGCTAATTAACTAATCGCTCCAAAAAAACAAACATGCAATTAGGCTTATCAATACATACGGTAAAGTCTGGTCTTACTAGTATTTAATAGTAGTTGTTAGGTTTTACAAAAAGCACTAAAACTCGGAACAAAACACTGATACGATGTTACCTCGTTCAAGTACACACTCGGAATCCGCCAAAAGTTTTATTATACAGCCAAAATCAAATAAAATAAAACAATTGAATTTTTTAGATTGTTTAAAGAAATTACATTGTTCATTAATAATATGATTAAAACATTACATAACTTAAATAAATACAAATTAAAAAAAGATGAAAAACCATTAACTAGTACCGAAGATATAACAGTATTTTGAAATTCTTTTTCATTTTTATATTGCTTGAATTTTTAGTTTATCCCACACACACAGTCGCCTTTACGCCTAATTTTTAACTAATGCGGCTTAAAGACAAATTACTTTTCTTAGTTGAGGCTATGAGAGCAAGAGTGGGCTAACCAACATTTTGTTGATAATTAAGTTATAGATTGCAATCACTTCTAACGACCTAAAGTTTTAAAGCAAAACCGGTCTAACCAACATTTCCATATATTATAACATAAATCTCTTCAGTAAGGTGATTTTGCATTATAGAAAATAACAAAAAATTTTAAAACACGAATGGGCTAACCCACAAAGTTGTGGAATAGACCAAAATTGTTGAATACATAAATACGTATAAGAATGCAAAAGTAGGGTAACCAACCTCTTTGTAGGATAGACCGGTTTTAACTACTTTTCAAGCGTACGTATTACACAATCTAACCATCCAGTGAATAGATGTTTTTGTTAAGGTGGAAATTAGACTGTGCAGTGCAGTCCCTTTCTTTTTAATCGTATCCTTTCTTTGCACTTGGAGATGCGCTATGGTACGCACTACCTACCTATGGATTCGTGCAAAAAATGTGATTTGTATAACAATAAAATAAACTTCTCAACAGTTCAAGCAGAAAAACGTGAATTTGAAGTAATACTAGAGGTTCACCAACGAAAAGCCGACCGTACTGGATGTGGTATGAAACAAGATGCAGAGTATGCAAAACAAAATCCTGAAGAAATTACAGTGATTGCATTTGACTTGATGCGAACGTTGCTCACACCAGTCATCAGCACTGAAATTTCTTACTGTAAACGCCAGTTGTGGACTTACGCCTTAGGAGTCCATAATTTGACTACTAACAATGCTCATATGTATGTTTGGAACGAGACACAAGCATCACGAGGACCTCAAGAAATAGGATCCTGTTTACTGCATTATTTTAAAAATGTTACAACAAGGAATGTAATATTATATTCCTATCAATGCGGAGGGCAGAACCGTAACATTAAAATGGCTGTCCTTTGCGATTTTATTGTGCCACATTCTGATATTGTGGTGAAAAATATTGATCATAAGTTTTTAGCCAGCAGACATTCTTACCTTACCTGTGAAGAAGATTTGGAAGTAATATGTAAACAAATTTTTTTTAAAGATATCTACGTACCTGAGGACTGGATAAAGGTAATAACACAAGCATGAAAGAAAGCACATTTTACTGTAATAAAGATGACAGAAAACGATTTTTATTCTACTAAGAAGTTAGAAAGAAATATAACAAATGGCAAACTTGATACACAAAAATCAAAAGTCCAATGGTTACAGATTCAGTGGTTGCAATACAAGAAAACAAATTCATTTACAATTTACTACAAATACAGCAATAATGCAGATGTTCTCTTTTACTCACTAGAGGACATCCAGGGAAGTACTTCAGCTAGATTATCTTCATCCCGATGGACGTCCAATAACCAAAGCAAAAAAAAGATCTTTTGGAATTACTTTCATTTATACCTCCAATACATCATGGATTTTATACAAGCAGCACCAGAACAATAAGATCCACTATACAGCAAGAAAAAAGAGTTCATTAACGATGCAGCTTAAGAATTTTTGTTACTTCGTTTTTTAATAAAGCATAATTGGTGGAATGCATAAAACGCAGTATCTGCTAATGCTTCAAGTAATTCTTTATTTTTGTAGTACTTGCTACACTTGCAAAGAATTTTGCTTTCCTCCGTAGTATTTTCTATTATTTACCAGATACATAGAAGGATGTACTAGGCTTTTGAATTATTTGTTAGTTTAGTAGAATTTGCTTCAGTTTAGGTGAAGTTGGTGGATGAACGACTTCGACATAGGTGTTTTTTGTTAAAAAATGGCAGCATTTATGAATGTTCGTCGCAGAAAAATCTACAAACCAGGAAGAATATACAACAACTTGTGCTCGAGCACAAGAAATTTGAGCTTCGGCTCCTTCAATTTGTTTTCGTAAGCAGGTCTTCTGTAGTTCAATCAGTGACTCCGTCTTCGCACTAGGATATTTGGGAGCTCTGCCTGTTAGTTTTGGCAATCAGAATTGGAGCTAAAAAGAACGTTTTCATCATTAATCTGGTCTAATCCCACAAAAAACCTTAAATTTTTACATTTTTGTTAAATATACTGCAAGATCTTCGAGTTTTATGTTATTAGTTAATGGTTTGTAAACAATGACTACCTTTTGGCATCATA